GAGACTGCACGGATGTATTCCAGTGCATATATTAATTCAAGAGGCTGCTGAGATTCATTCTAACTTTTTCATAATGACTGTTCATGTTTTTTTATCGCTGATTGAAAGCTAACTCAAAATGGTGTTAGACCTCTTCAGGATTAGTCAATTTATCGTCATACGACACTTGTCTGAACAGTTACCCTTAGAAAACAGCTTTGGAATTCTCACCATGGAATCGCACTTGAAAGAATTTTTTAAGCTAAAATTTTCCTACATGCGTGTGCTTGAACGAACGTATGATCACTATGCAACAGGAGAAAAATAAATCTCCTCCTCACCCTTTCCGGCGACAGCTGTCAGTAATACGGTCCATCTCTGTGCAACTTTGAGTTGAGGTTGGATGATACCTTTAGGTACAATATTCTTCTCCCACTAGACAGAAATAGATGGCTATTTAGGCAGTTATAGAAGGCGAAAACCATCATGTGAATGTGCCACCAACGCACCTTTCTACATGACATAACCTATCCCGTTTCGCATTTAAACCATCGGCTAAATCAAGTATACCTAAATAGGAGGCTAGACAATTTCCGGTATTTCTAATATTCCACTTCATTTGAACTGCAATCAGTAGGTAAGTAAGCAAAAACCATATAGAGACAACAGCGAGTTTCACTATCCCTCTTAGTCCTCAATGCACTATTCAGAAGTACAGGACAGTGAATACTGTCAACCAGAATCCAGTCAGGCAGTACACTTTCTGCCTTGCAACTTGAATCTGAACCTCAAAACGCAAGACATGTTTCACTTAGCAAAACGGAGAGAAAGACTACTTTTGACCAGTGCATCAAGACGCTCTAAAACAACTCCATTTCTAGCTTGTGAATAAATTGTACACGCCTTAGCAAAAAAAGTGTTGGTTTGGATACGGTTGAAGCTATTCTCTAAAATGCTCTAATTGACCTAGGTTGCATACCTGATGAGACCTACCAGAAAGGCACATCTTTCCAACCAAACATATCTATATTTCTTGTGCATTCAGAGGCCAACACTCAACATGCAAGCTGAAGGCGATACTATTGAACAAATCAAGCCAATTTGCAATCGTTGTTTTTTTTAACTTAGGATTAAACTTAGATTAAAAGTTGAGTGGCTTTAAGGGCCACCGTAACAAAATGGGAAACAGCTGATTAGACTGTTTAATTCCATAAGGAAATTTGTTTTTCCAGGGGATATAAAGAAAACGGATTGGTTACCCCAGATGTTGCTAAAAAGGCTCTTAATTTCCTTCTAAAAGTTGGCACAAAACAAGTTTAATTATAATTACTGTGAAATATCGAAAAGTTTAAAAGCCAGCCTAACAGTGATAGAAATAACCAATTAGGTTTCGTTATTTTGGATGTAAAGGTAGCTTTTCATAAAATCGAGAAGTTTGATTGGTTATTTTAGTTGTTGCTACGGTGGCCTTTAAACTCATTCTAAAATATATGCACAAATTATCTGCATAATATTTCACCTAAGTGACCTTAAAGTCAAACCTAAAAACTTCTGAAATGACCAATTGGGCTTCCTATTTTATGAGAAAAGGCTTATTTTTAGCTTTGGGAACAGATAAGTTTTAGTTAGTCAGAATGGAATCTCAGAATACCTTAGTTTTGGATCGTATGTCATTGGTTTACGAGTCTGTTTTACAAGTGTAACAATTGAAAAAAATATCTGCGTGCCATGTCATAACATAAAAATCGATAAACGTAAAGAATTATGTATCTGCAGAATGCAAAATACATGTTTGAGATCATTCCTAGAAGGCAAGAGCAAATGTTTAGGAGGAGTATAGTGTTTTCGACAAAAACAAGAAACATATTTAAGGATACACTGTGCATTCGATAAGCCTCAAGTGTATACATTTCTCGTAATACTTTTAAATTCACATTGAAGCACAATAATTCTGTTCAATAGTCAACATGCACAAAAATGTCGAGAACAAAACAAAAGATAACATTATAGATTTTCAATGAATCAAATTAAGAGAATCTCCCATGCATTATTTCTCCAAGTACCTGTGAAACATGTTGACAGCAAGTTTGAATGAAGATGAAGAATACTTAAAGTGTTGGTTATAAATGACTGACCTCGAATATCTACTTGTAAAGTTTCCAACTGAAACTTTCATCAGTCTACTTTCGGTTCTAAGTGTTAGCAGAAATAAAGAGCAATTTATGGAGTTACAAAGACTAAAGTCACGTATATTGCTGAATTTTTGTGTTACAGTACCTAGGCTGAGTTTAATAGGTATGGTTAGGTCTGACAACAGAATAGAGTGAAGGACCAAATTCATTTCTTGGAAACCGATACATACGCTTGATGTCCGGTGATATTTTGAGGGAAATCGGTGTCATACGTCCACCAATGGAAAATCACAGACATAATTTATAAATTCGTTGTATTTGGTGCACTTGAATAACCCTATTTTTCGTACATTTTTGCATTTACTCAACTCATTCTGTGGATTTCTCTTTAATGAGTTGGTTGAGGGTGATCAGTAGAAAGTTTTACTCAACCCACGTTTTGTGCTTTTTTGTACTTTTCAGCAAGGTACATCTGCAACCTTGCAGCAGCCGATGTCCTCTCAGAGGTTCGAACCCGCGTCACCCATTTCTTCAGTCAGATAGTTACCACTGAATTATCTAGGCAGCTACTGACATCTTCAGGTATTGGATTAGATACAATAACCAGAAAGTATTCAATTTCCTGTTATCTGGTCCTAAGTGCTGACCAAATTCTAACGATCCATTGGTAATGTGGTCACCATCACTGTGTACTCTGATTAATATTTGTCGGTTTAAAAAAATTGACAGGAAACTCTGAATCTAGATTTCATATTTTTAGCACTTATAAGTATGCCTTAACTGTAACCTTAACGCACTCAATGTTCTTTCTGAGATTCAGACGTGCATGATTCACAGCGAAAGTTGGAGACCTCATCGATAAGCTACTTTGACTAGGAATAATTTCGTCTTTAACTGGATTGTTTTCGGGTATCGTTTGTTGCATAAAAGACCGATTATGGGGTCATTTATGTCAATTTCATCTGTACTCACTTCTACGATATAAAAGGTTATAGAAGATCTTGTGAATCTTATAACACTTCTTTGTGTCACCATGAAACATTTCCCTTCACTCTGGTAATAATTAAAGTGTATGATCAACAAGGTGAAAGTGAATTGTTGGTATGTAAGTCATTTCAACGCTTAAAAGAGCAAATCTAAATGACATCCCAAGTAATATTGAAATGGCAAATCAGATTCCTCCATTTAATGAAAAATATACCTGCAGAGCTAAATTTAGAAACCAATGGCTTCTACAGTTGAATCTAGGGTCATTCACTTAAGCAATGTAAACTCTTTCATATATGTGTGTGTCGATTGTAATGAAATGTTGGACGGTCAGAGATTTTAAGCCAGGTAACCGAAACCGTAATGAGACTGATAGTCTTTCAAAGCATGGGGAATTCCTTCTGTATTCTACCGAATTAGGATTTAAATATCACTGTGATCCATGCACTTCCTCCAATTCCTTACAAAAATGAATTCGGTTGATAAATGTTATTCCATGTGATCATTATTATTATTTTCCCCTTTGGTTCCTCGTGAAACATAGGGATTCAGTAGCATGACTCCATTTCAATCTCTTCTCTACAGTCTTCAAAACATGACTCCAACACTGACCACAAGCTTTCATTTCTTCCTCACACCATCTCCTCCATGTCACCATCAACTCCGATACCCAAATCATCGTGTCCTCCTCGAATTCCATCCGACGACCTTGCCTGGCATGAGCGTGATGTCCCCACTCGAACTTCTCAGTGTATGTCCAATTCAATCCATCTACACCTTCTCCTGCATATTTGTTTGGTGATAGGTTCCTCATTGGTTTGGTGCCAGCCAGCCAGCCAGAGTGAGTTCCTTGTTACTCATTCTTATTATTCTGACCATCTAATCTTCAGTATCGAGTGGGCGTAGGTGACAGCTGTTGACCAATGTCTGTACTTTGTTGGGAATGATTTTCGTAAGGTGCCAAGTTCCTGGACCATCACATAGAAGCACTGTTGTGACAGATATTAGTGTTGAAAATCCGGATCTCGTTCATACTTCATGCTGAGTGAAATGCAGTGCAGCAGATCTCCACACTGATTTCAGATTAATGCATGAAGGCCTGTTTTGTTGTCTTTCCAATCCTGATTGCTTTGACATTCTCATCTATGTCTGTGCCACTGCCTGTAGTTGAAACGATGCAGCCTTGCCTATATAGGTGAAAGAGACCACTTCATTTAAATTTCGCACGTTAATCGTGATTGATGCTTGTTATTCTTCTTATTGCTCTTGGTATTCTTTGCGTAACTTTATCACCTCTGTCTTCTCTACGTTCACCTGAAGGAAGTCCTGGCTTCCATCGCTGCATCGCCTCATCTGTCATCTTGTTAGTTTTCGCCTGTAGATCTTCTTGTTTGTGCAACATAAGACATTAAACATAAATCATCATCGGTGGCGAAATCCAAATCTTTTAGTCTATTTTCATCGGTTGAGCCAGCATATAACCATCTTCTCCCTCCTCACAGATTTTTGCATGATCCAGTCCAGTTCAGTTCACCGCAACCAGGAAGATCATCGGTGTTAATAGGTGGCAGCCTTTTCTCACTCCTGTCTTCACTTCAGTGGCATTCAATGTGGTGTAATTAATAAATTAACTTTGTTTCGTTCTTATGGGCCTCTGTACAAATTAAGACTTTCTCGTGCCTTAGTGAATTTACAATAATAACATCTCTAAATGGTATGTTTTACATTGATTGGTCTTAGGACAACAACCAATTTTGTCTAGTCTTGAGTACTGACGTAACCCTATCGATCAATTTTGCAATGTGACCACCAAGTTAGGAGGCTTAGCATCGTGGTGAACAATGATAAGTTGCCCCCAACCACCGAACGTATATTGACGATGTTTTGTTCTTTTTCGCATAGGTTTAAACAATGTGGAAGATGTCAACTTAAAGTACCTGAAGATGCTAAAGTTCATAAAGTAAACCGTATACCCTTTCATATATCATGTTTCACATGTTTCCAATGTGGTCGTCAATTATGTCAAGGTGATAAATGCGGTATTTTTAATAATGATGTATTCTGTTATGAACATTATGTCAGTAAATGTTTATCAATCAAAATGTTGCAGTTTGATACAGATTCAGCATCTAATATGAACACCGTAGATTCTAGTCAATTTAACAAATTTCAACAAATTTTATTGAAACAAGAAAATTTTACAGTCAATTTGAATGACGAAAAAATCAACCAGAATTTCAGTGAGTTTACTTATTTATTTTGTCATAGTGAAGCAGTTGCATTTTTCATGGCTATTTGGGTTTAAACCCTCATTAAATTTTCTTTCAAATCAATTTTTTCAATTTCTTTTGCTTTCATCAACGGTTTTAAAATGATTCTATTAGGACGTTTTTTCATCATTCAGACATCCTTCCTCTAATGTCTAGTAACTTATTACTGCATAAAACTGTTCTCCTAGCAAACTTGCTCTATATAAAAGGGTTAAATGTTTGTAAAACTAATTGAAAAGGCCGACAATAACCACAATCTGTAGGCAGGTTCTATATCGATTCACTTTTGAAACCATATTGCTAAAACTGCTATGCATGGCTTATTCCATGAAGAATCGTTATTACAAACGCTAACAGTGAAATTGTCTGATGAAGTGATACTTGCTCAAGAGATGGCTATTGTGCCCACTGGTTTAGTGGATAACGCTGCCAAGTTTGAAGTGAAGGTTTTAGCCTCGGTGGAGACAACATCACTAATTGGCGTTCAGTTACATCCAGCCCACGAGTCCCAAATAGGAGGAAACGTGCGTCTCGGATTCCTCTCTTAGCCATCAAGATCAATGAGACTGTTTGATATATACTATTTGGTAATATGGGCATTTTGTAACCACTGATATCCATTGACAGAGTTCATTAGCTACATTAAAGTGTTCTTAACATCAGAAAGGCATTTCAAAGTCAATGAATAGATGGTGGTATCCGTGGATTTATTCATTTATTGAATTGCTGAGGCTATCTTTGTTTTGAACACGTATTTAGGAGGAGTGGCAATAACTAAAAACTAACAAAGTATTTCCAAAGATCACAACGATAGGTTTCCCACTTAAAAATTAACCGATACTATTCGTCGTTTAATGTTGCCGTTAACATTGGCGATGCCACAATTGATGTTAGACATACCTTAATTGATGGTATAAATGCTTCAGGTTTCGAGAGAAACTAAAGTTGAACTTACCAATGAATACGTTATGATTCTGCGACTCAGTTTGACTTCGAATAACACCTGGCTGAAATTTTCACGGTCTTAACAATTCGGGTACATCAATGAAATGCTCTATCATAAATGAACTAATTTGTAAACCTATGGTTCAAAAATATGTCATGATTATCATCAATAGGCAATATATGACCAGGCATTACTAAGTGATGGTCAAATTTTTTACACCTCATATCAGATAAAAGATGAATAAATGAAGGATAATCGATCAAATGCAGTGGAAAGTAGTAAAAGATGAAATGGAGGCATAAGGAAATTCAGTATGAGGATTAAGATGGAGATAGTGTGTAGATACATCCGCGCAGCTGACATACACTCCCAGCGATGTTATCTAGTTTGCTAACGCCAACTGGGAAGCCTACATTACTGTACACGGCTGAGACTAACATTCGAATAGTTCATACAATGATGCCAAATTTTTATCTGGCCATCCCTAAGCTTTCTACAGCCTGAACCTACTTCTGATAACATTTGATTTGACCAACACGAACGTTTGTGCAGTGATTGCATGTTACTACAAATAGTGAGACCGGTCTAAACTGTATATCACACACAGTTATCTAGACAAAAACTTTGTAGGTGCAGTATATTCCGGAAGATTTCGCGACTTAAAAGGTTTTAATATAATCTATAAATCTTTCTAGCCATTTATAACAACTAACTCAATACAAATGTGAACTCCCTTCTTTTATACTTTATGAAAAAATTATTTAGTCTTGAATACTCTTCTATTTAAAACAAGCAACAAAGGTAATTAAGGAGCATGTAATCAGTCTATAAGTTTCAGTGGAAATCCTTGACTGAATTTTTTATTAACTGACAGCGAATAATGCTCAATGACATACTGGGTAAATATTTAAAAACCCCTATGTAGATGTGATACCACTGGAGGAGATAGAAAAAATGACTGAGAAAACCCAACAGATTAAAGATAATTCTCGTCATTGTAAGTAGAGTAGATAGAAGTCAAATATGAGTTCTGGTGACAGCAAGAATTTAAAAGATCACCTCTGCGAAATGCCGAATAGAGTAAAAACGGCTTTCAATGGGTAGGATAAGACAGTAGTTATAATTTAAGAAAAACAAATCAGGAACTAAGTTATATTACTTTTGAATGAAAATGCTACCATAGTAGACTCAAAATAATCACCGCTTCCTTCTGTACCATCAGTCAATCGTAATCTAACCTCTGTTTTAGACTGCATTAGATATGTCTGAGAATTGGTTGGAGACCTCTGTTACAAGACAGTGCGAAGTGTAACTTTTTTATAGATAAATCCTATCCAGGTAACGATGGTATCTGGGTGATGAAAAACAACACCTACTTTAAGGAATTTATACAGATATTCGGCGATTAAATATTGCAAAATTATGGCAATTTCGTCATTTTTAGGGACACATGTTTCTTAACCCGATTCTGTATTCACTTCATCAGTACAAAAAAAAATTGTTTTTTTCTCAGATAATGTTGAGATCTAGAAGCTGGCCTTCATCATTAGCGACTTGATTAACCTAAGTTCTGTAATGGCTAGATTCCATAATGACAAATTTCAATAGTACTTCGATTTGTAGTCATAAAGCATCGACTTTTACTTGGTTGTCTGTCAGTACACAACTAGAAGACATCAGGAAATTCCTGAAAACGTTATTTCTTTGTCTAAATACTCCTAAAAATTTAATCACATGACATGGAAGTACATTATAAAGTTTTTTTAACTTCGATACTAATGACCTATATAAGTAGTTACAGACTACTCAAACTGATCAGTAGTGCTAGATAGTAGGATCAAGATAATTTAAGCTTCGGACGGCCATTTAATTCGTTTTAGACTCGGTTGATCAATATCGTATGTAGAAGGATTTTGCTCAGACAGTTGGACTTTTCGCATCACCAGAACCCTAACCAGTTACTGAAGACGACTGCTCGTACCTCTTGTCAAATTAGCACTGCAGATCAGCCTGAATGATCTACATTTACCCATGCTAGTCAGTAGAATACTTCGTGCAGCTTTCATATCCACAATCTTCAAGCCACTTTCAGTGTCTAGTAAATTACATTATTTGATTTGAATGTTTTGGTTTCTACAGGGGACCATGCTGAAATTTCTCAATATGAACTATGCACTTTTCAAACATCTGATTCTATGCTTACCGCTATCTGCTGCAACAAAATAACTCTAGATTTATAATAATTAGTTAGAGTGAAAAGACAAAAATTCCGAAAACTAGTTAAAAATGAATCAGAATGTGGTACTCAATTACAAAGACTTATCAATTTTTGATCGGTAGATTTAAAACCTGAATATCTTTCATTTTCTCATGACAAATATTGAATGAAAATCTAATAAACTAAGACGGGAGACTAAAACGTGTACGAGTTACAGAAATGCTAGTCGTACAAAGTGCTGTATAGAAATAACTTCAAAGTAACTTTGAAAATTATAAATAAAGCTTTCATTTTATAAAATAAGTCAATGAAATTGATGATATTCATGAATATTCAAAGTATAGTATCCAAACAAGTGACTGGAGTAATAGTTTTCAAGTTTTACAAGATATCTCTGCAAACTGAAAGTTCCTTTTGAAAACAAAGAACGTAAAAGCTACTTTCGTCAAGCTATTCATAGTTCTGATAGATTGATGTTTTCTATGGCATATTCCTTATGTAAATAATTGTAACACCTATAAGCCATTTCATTTCCTTTTTGTTAGCCGTAATAATAAGCACAAGAGTACATACATTTTGATGTGAAAAATTGGAAGTTTAAATTTCGCAGATAAGAGCACTATGATAAATTTCTTTCTGTAACAATGAACAAGTGAATTCACTAAGAAAAATCCTCTAAGTGATTTTAGGCTTCTAGCATAAGAAAATGTATCAATAAAACATCTGGATTTTAGGCTTTATTTGAATTAATCTTTTGTTTGAGGTTAATATTTAAATGACTATCAAGGTCACTGAGATGATTAGCTTGACCTTACAGATTTCACTGCCACTGTATACAACATCATCAAAACAAGCTTGATAATGAAACGGTCTAGGATACTGTTTCATCAGGAATATCTCAGTCGGTTTTCTGAGTGATGAGGAATTGCATTGTTTCAACGCCCATCGTGCCCATACTAGAATGACGGTGAAAACCTAATGAATCAGCTATCAATCTTAGAAAACGTACTAAGATCACAAAATGTTTGTGACTGCAATGGAATTATTATCAGTTGGACGTAAAACTCCTACTTTAAATGAAACCTACTAGCTTGGCAGGTAATTTAGCGAATTGTTACCTAGTGATTTTTCTTCGAATACAGGATTCCATTATGGTCCCTAGTTAAAATTGGCTTACCGTCCAAACAAACAGCATCTTACCAATGGGACCTGTTTGTATAACTAGTATCCATCCAAAAGAAGCAGAACCTACACAGTAGTACACATCAATCTTGTACCCATTTGCACAATGAAAATTAAGTACGCTTTAAAATTGCATCGTACTTGTAAGCTAAATTTTACCTGAAATAAATTAATCTCGGTAACGATATTTTCTTGTTCCACAAAAGCGTAAACACTGATCAGACAACTAGAGAACAACATGGCGAAAAGTTACTTTGATGCTTATTATTTTCTATGCACTTTCTTGTTGCATAAATAAATAACACGATATAGAGTACAAAAAAAGACGAGGCATGGCAGTTGGTTTTGCAAAATTCGAAAATAGTTATCAAATGAGTTTTACTACTTTGAAAGCACTCAAGTAGTGTGATCATAACTGTTAAACATTTGAAGGATTTCGTGAATGAATATGTTTTCACAACCAGTAAACCAATGACCTATTTAAACGTAGCTAAATAGAGTGCAGAGATACACTGTATTACCACACAAATAATAGTCTGAATCTACGATGACTTTCGCATCACCTACTGACAATCGATATTCATTTCCGTAACAGACAGTTAATGAACTAATCACCATTTGAATATTTCTTTCTATGGAACACTGTTAATCAACTGATAAGTTCACGATCAAAAGATCTATGAAGTACTGTTTCTTCTGGAAACACTTAGCTTATAGTTCTAAACATTGTAATAAGGAAAATTATTGAATAAACTTTTTTGATGTTATGAATACTCTAACGAAGTGTGAGCGTTTTCCATTTGTTAGTTGAATATATCCTGACATGTCTTATGTTCCATAGGATAAAATTAAGTGACCTAGGCGTGCTTAAAACACGGATTTATAAAATCGAATACAATTAGGCATCACTTTAAATATTCTGAGCTTCTTTCACGTATTAAACAACAAAAGAAAAAGTTAACTGTTTAACCGATGGAACTTTAAATGTTTACTGGTTAACATTACTCAAAGAAAAGTAAGCAGTGACCATCATAAGACTGTGAAAATTTATTCTTTAATAGTAATATTTCATTCTCACCTTCTATTTTATCAAACAGACCAAAGTCACATGCATTTGCCTAACTACACAGCCAAATCAGACAGAATAGCCGTGCTAAATGCAAATTGTTGTGTACCCTCAACTTCTACGCAACTCATTGAGTCAACAGCTAAAAATGAATCAGCAGACAACTTCTCAGTTTCATCAAATTATTCTACAGCCAGTTATATGCAGACAGTTACAAGTTCAACAACAACCTTAACAAGTACAAATAAAATAGAAAATTGTCAATCTACTGATAACTGGTATTCTGTTGATGACTCTATGCTCAGTGAAGAAATTCTTCTCAGCAATGGTGATATATCACTAACATTAACAGAGAATGGACATTCAGTTGACAGTAGCACAAGCAGTAATTGTAGTGTTCACTCAAAGTCAAAGCGTATTAGAACAAGTTTTACGCCCGATCAACTAGCTATACTTCAGGCCAATTTCGATGTTGAAGCTAATCCAGATGGTCAAGAATTAGAACGTATTGCTGGTATGGCAAAATTGAATAAACGTGTTACTCAAGTAAGTCTGTATTCTAAAGTGGTTTCATATCCTATGATGACTTAAGTATCTAACTGATGAAACTGTTGTCGATGACATTAGGAAACGGAAAACTTACGCCTATTTGCTATTACTTAAATCTATATAAGTATGTTTTGCGACCTGATTTTATGGCTTTACCTAACCTTATTCGACATTGTGTCGTTTTATATGTTGGATGGTACACCGAGCATAGAACTTTGAATCAGTATCTAGTGCAGCTTCATTTTTATCACTAGGAGTTTGTAACTCAGGGTCAATTGAGGATTATTCACTTATAGAATATGACGCTGGAAGATATGGTAAGCCACAAGGTTGTTAACCTTTTGGGATTTTCAGGCACATTCTATTTATGAGTGGTGGGAAGAAGAAAATCTTCGTCGATAGCAGTAATCATTTGTCGTTCAATACTTTTTGCATCAAACATAGTCCATCACAGTTTTGCAATATTGTTAAGATATTGTTGTAGATAAGAGGATTATGCATTCAGTTGTCACTAAGTCATGGGTGTGAAATAAGCTGCACATGTTGAAGGTCAAGTAGATAAATGGTATCAAATCCCATGCAACGCGTGTAACTGACTGCCTAGTACACAAATCCAAAAGTGGCGGATGAGTTGGTGTACGCATGTATCGCTATCAGCAAAAATGTCTTTCGTTAGCTACTTGACAAAATTAGATCAATGTTTGGAATCATGATATTACTTTAGCCAACCACTCGGAATAAATGTATAAGTCTAGCGATTATTGGTGATTATTATTTTGCATTTTTTAATAATTGAAATGCTTTTGTTTGTTCTCTACACTCTCAAATCTTCAAATATCGTCCTTTATCCTAGGTATGGTTTCAGAATGCAAGAGCACGTAAAAAGAAGATTGAATGTCGCGGTCATCTAGGTGGACAGCATGACCAAATAAGTCTTAGCAGTTTGGCTTGTTGTTTATCTGATCCCACTGGAACAGAAGAATTCTTTGACAATTCTAAAGAGAATATACCTTCAATAAATATAAATGAAAGGATTTCGTCAACCAATGACTGTGAAATCACAGATTCAAACCAACTTTATGAAAGGCAGTTTAACGGGAAGGTGGATTTTTTCAATGAAATAAATTACAATGCTAAAAATAATCATAGCAGCACTAGTAATGGTGAAAAACATTTTTCAGGTATTCATTGCTGTAGGATGGATAATATTTTTGCCAATGGTTGCTCCGATCACGGTGGTTTAATATCGAATGGGTGTGAGTTAAACTTTTCAGACAAGAATAATATCATGGATCATGATACATTTTTGAACAGACTGCTACCAAACACAAATCCTTTCGGAAAGTTTCCTTTTCCGTCAGCATGTAAGTTGTATTTTTCAGTGGTAAACCTGGTACAACTTTTGCACTGAAAAGACTACAGTTTTGTGAAACTTTTCATTAGGATTGTAGTTAACAGCTAAGTGAAATCTGTTTCCGAAACCACGCTGAATGAACTAAGGGTATTTTTACTTACCTAAACAAAGAGAAAACAGTGTAGTTGAATACAAATTGACTGAGCATGAAATAAAAGCATATTTTCCTTGAACACACAGAGACAAAGGGGCTTCGAAACGTTCATAAACAGTAGCGTATATAGTTACTGATCTTAAATGACATTAGTAATGACCATGAATCATAAGAGTTGTAACTGGAGTTGAAAATAACACCCATCTCTACAATATATGCTCATGAACTGTACAATTAACTGCAAATCACTCATAGCGATCATCCATATAATCTAACTAGATTGAGGAGGACAGAACGATTACTGTTGAACAAACTGATACACAAGGGACGTGTTTATGCGACAGCTTTACAGAGTATAACAATTCTTGATACAGGGTGTACAAAACCCCTAGAATAACATCATTGCATTTCTAAATGTCAATTTTCTTTATCAAACACCAATTTATACTGAGATGAATGTCGATCACCGAAGAAATCACTTGTTACATATATGCTTGCCAAGTCAGAAATAGTTTTTTGTTTGCATGTGTGAAACTGGCATTGTCCTTTCTAGTTGCATTCAAAACATGGTGGCTCATTCGACCTAAAATGTTACCACTACATATCAGGAAATTCATTATTTTCAAGTCTGAAATAATATATGTTAGAAAACATTTTTTACTGGAGTTATCTTGGTATTAACACCACGACTACATGGATAAACAGGGAAGGAGACAACGGACATCGTTAGTGGGTGTTACTGGTTATCATTATTCCAGATGGAAAGTCTCCATAGACCCCTACAATCCTATATTGATCTTGACAACAAGCAGTAAGACCCAAGATTCGCATCTCTTCCTATTTGGGACTCGTCAGCCGTATGCACCTGCGGTTGTTGCTCCTACTGGGGAAGAACCACGTACCAACCACTTCAAACTCCAGAGAGCTATCCACTAAGTCAGTGGGGCATGATAGTCACCTCATGCACAACAAGTATCAGTTGTTGTTATGATAATTATTATCTTTTGTTGTTATACAGGGTCGAACTGCTTGACCTTTGTTGGCGAATGGGCTCCAATGCGGACGCCTCGTTACTGCTGGATATTCGTGATGTTATATTGATCTTGGTGACTAGCACAGCAGTTCGGCCCCGTATAGCGACAGGAAATTACGAGTATCATAACAACCTTACGAAGCTGCTTGAGTTTGAGTAGAAAGCTCTGACTACAAATACATACCTGCTCACAGACACTTCCATGACACCCTTGGATTTACTGAAATTTTTATTCTTCAGTCCCAGTTAGGACTCAGGTAACTATGGGCCTCTGCAGGTAACATACCACTTTAGTTAAACTGAACCGCTTGTCGTGATCTGCACACGAAAGCCTCTCTCCCCTTTTGTAAACAGAAAGGATCAGCCATGTAAACCAGTCCGCTGGAAATTCTTTTGATTACCGAAGATGCCTGATCCAACGTTCTACCCATCTGTCCTTCTGGGTTATTAAGAACTCGTGCTTCACAGAGATGATATCACTAACTATTATCTTGTTCCTATCTGAATCCTTAATAACCTGAAATAACTGCCCAGAATTACCTAATACTGATGGTTTCTCCACCTATTTCACTTTCATCATCCACCACTGCTTGTGATCATTGTAGGGACTATTTATCAGTCTGCATCCAAACCACTTTTGTGACTCATTACAGTCACAGATAGCTGGAATGAGTCTTCTAGCTTCAGTCAGTTTGGATGAGAGTGTGGAAATCTACTTTAATAGCTAACATTTGCACGTTGGTTGTCAGCTGTTTTTATCACTGTTTCTACAGTAGACCGAATATTATGTAAAGCTCCATCATGGTGAGAATTACTGCTATGTTCAGGCAAATTCTTAGCCATTTCCTCTTTGAGCACATACTTGATATTACACAAATCAGTCATGAATGGGTAACCAATGTAGATGTTAGTCTCTTAGTATTCAGCACTTGTCGGAGCCTGTCGATTAAGTTTTATGATGTCCCAGTAGTTTAACGCTGAAGAAATAGACGGATACATCTGTTACACACTCATGACTAATTCGCGTAACATCAAATGTGCACTTAGGCAGGAGATAGCTAAGCATGTTACGGAACACGACAGCAGTTCTCAGCAGTTCTCACCCAACCGGGAAGTCTACACTTTCCAACAAGATTAAGAGCAACGATCACGAACTTTATAAACTGGTGCTAAATTTTAGTCTATCCACCTTTTACGATTTTCCCAACCTAATCCTACCTCAACTAAAACTGCATAACAGGTAGACGATGACTACGTATATGTAACATATGTACTAGCCACACGAATCTACGAAGACCCAAAATATCATTACCTGACTTACTACGTTTACGTTTATACTCCATGTCTGAATAGTGTAATAGTTCCGCGACACGACTTGTGCAAAGAAAATGGTTGTTGAACACTTGAAGCCCTATCATATCCTCAAACCTTAACAACCACATTTCACAGTCATTAAGAAGAATAGAGGTACCTGTTGCTCATTTTACTCGACACTGAATAGGCAACTGTATATCCCGTCACCACTATAAATAACTTAAGTCAGAAAGCCAACCACGCCCTTTTTCTCTGGCAATATATATCGTCAGTCACTGAATACCAGTGTTGCTCCGATTTCCCTAAACAGGGAAGTAGTCATCCTGCTCATTCCTCTCGCTCCCTCTTGTAGTCAAATGTGGCGTCACATCAGACTAAGCCAGTCCTGGAGCAACATTATGCACTTGTGTGCTGAAAAACGTATCTCATGCACACTCCAAAAGCCCAAAAGACCTTGAATTTAGAAAGAGTCCTCAGCCATAAGCGCTATATCATCTACGGAAGTGGAGCTGATCAGAGTGTCCAGTAATACGGTTAGTTTTTGTAGGGTTGAAAAAAGAGAGATACCTACATATGTACATCTGTGACAAAGCAGTTTTGGTATCTTTAATGAACGCCACTTCCAGTACACAACTTTTCTATACCTGACTACAGGCCACATAACATCCACAGGTGTTCAAACAAAAAGATTTCAGCATAGCGATGCAGGTCTTCGGCACCCACTTCAAAAAGAGACGTTGCCATGAGATCTCTCGAGTGACGAAATCAACTACCACCTTCAGACCAATATATGAATCTGTCGCGGGGAAACTATTAAGTGCATCTTTGCGTCAGAACCTTGCGAGCTATGGAAATATGATCAATACACTCATGGCCAGGTTTAAGAACTGCCTGGTTTTCTCAAACTTACTGTCTCGAGCTTTAGTTATGTGTCTAGATATAACAGAACCTAGAATCTTGGACATAATGTTTGATGGACTGATTTTTTTGTGTTTATAGCAAGAAAATCGCCCTAGTTTCTTTTGGTCTGTTGCAATCAGTGACTGAAGTCAAACTTTGGTGGCTAATCACATGGTTTCGTGTTAGGGCTCAACAGGGTTACCAAGTCTTCAATGGACGACCATTCATCCAGACGATTGCTCTAAAGGTCTCCGAAAATCGACAATAAATAAATTTTATAATAAAACTACAGGCACCTGAGTTACTGACATTACACATTGTTGGATCCTTATGAATTTCAACAAAGAGAAATCGGCAACATGTGATGTACCACCATCATGCTTATACTATAAACACACTATCATGGCATACGTTGAAATGAAGAAACGTAGTTCATGGTTATCATCCTGGCACTAAACTAGACCTAGTGAACCTTGCTTAGCACCTGGTCCCTTCCAGGCACCAAAAGGAAAAGAAGAGTCTCAACAGCTAAATTTTATGCGAAAAAGTATCTAGACAGTAAATTGGCACTGTCTTCGATGCTACCCATGCTTGGATCAACTTTTCTTATTCAAAATTCGAGGACTGGATGACCGTAAGTTATTACTATTTGAAACGGTCGCCTAATGGCGGGAAGTTACGTCGTCATGGAAATTGGTCTCATCTACAATCCATAAGCGAATATGGGCTCGAATTTCCTGGCTAAATACACAAAGAAGTATGAAGCATTTGGTTATCCAGAGAAATAAAAGTGTGCTTTGGCCTATGACCCTGTCTTTTCCATCTTTGAGCTATAGATGTCTGCTACTACTCTTTTTAATCCACTTATGAGTTGCTTTTACTCTTCATCGTTCTCAGAGTATGCATAATTGTCTTTTTTGTATTCATAAATCGATAAGAAGGTGGTTAAATTCACTAACCATTTTGAACTTTATTCTAAGTGAGATTTGAGGCCTTCAACACAGTTGACTGCAAATAGTAATTACATTTTTAGGATGAGTGATGTTTTCCTATTCCAATAACTATCTGGTCATTTCCTCAGTTTAGGGATTTTATTAATGAGCTGCATTCATAGCGGTTCTGCGGCTGGAAATCTTCTAGGTTCTCTTATGCAAAGACATACGCATGTTCTAAGAAATCCGAAGCTATTATTTAAATACTTGTCTCAAATCCAGTGGCATTCTTCCAGCACATCTGACCAGAGATAATTGACGGAGACATGATCCACATCTGATCACAAGTGAATTGAGGTCGGTAGTGTGTCTCCTTTTATGTCTGAAACTTTTGTTAGCTGGAAACAAATGATTGTCCGAGCACAACTGTAAAATATGATTCTTCAGATTCTGAAAACGCCTTTCTGACTTGCTTAGTCTAACCACTTGTGCGTTGAAATCACCTGCTACTATAACAAAATCTGAATGTCAAGCTTTGAGTAGGAGGCTAGAAATGATGATTTAAAATATAAAATGTAGTGACTACCACGTTACGTTTCTTGGTACCATCTGCAAGCGGTAGATTAGGCACTGTGATTGGACGAGACAGCCAGGAAATTACAACAAACTAGTATTGTATAAAAGCTACCTGTTGTCAGGGATCAGTGGAAAATACTAGCTGCAACATGCCTTTCTGCAATCCTCAAAGAAATCGCTCTCAGCGGCGAAAAATGCATAAGTTTCTTCGATATTACAAGTACATCTGAATAAAATAGTAATGTAAAGAAGAGATTTTGAATAACAGATTTTTGCTTTCTGTCTTCAAGCATCTATAAATGAATGTTTCATACAAGTCTACCTAATTTCCCCCAAATTTCTATTAAATATCTTGACACCTTCATATTTTCAACTATTACGTGTACTTATCTCACTGAAAGCTGATTTATCTTTTAACTAATAGAGTCGTATCTTTTTACTACATTGAAGATAAAATGGACAGAAATACATAACTGAAAGTTTTGCTTTCTAGATCATAAGTAAAGTTTTTAATACAGGTAAGATTGACAAATCCTTACGAATATGGATGTAACTATGCTGCTGACCTGTATGTACTTACTGAAATTAAGTTTCTTATCATCAATTATGATGAATTTCTGTTTGACGAAATCAACTTCCTTATTAATAAAACTTCTTATATCATAAATAATAACTAAGGGTACAGACAACAAATTCTACTTTCCGTTTCGCATTATTTTAATAATAATGACAAACAAACTAGTATAGCTTGGTAGCATGTGTTTGAAGTGATAATTGTTAAATATATTACTTTGTCACTGTCAGATAGTTCTCACTTCCTACAACCGTACAATCTGATTTTGCTACAGTTATCTACTCTCTCCCAGCATTTACAAGTCACTAACTTGACTAATCGCAAGACCAGTTACTGGCTACAAACTTTTAATTAGTAATCTTTCTCTCCCTTCCGCTGTACCAGAGAAGGCGAAGACTAACGAATTTCTCTAACTATACGGTGTTTCATCAGAGTTGTGCACAAATACAACTGAATAACAGCAATATAAAAGAAATTGGGATAATGGATAATTATTGATCCCATCTAACATGTAACTAGTTTACAATCAAGAATCTCACGAAATCGAGTGGGAAGACAATATGAATCTCATCAGCTCAGCTAAACAATAGTATTTTAAAACAAGTCTGTAGTAATATTTATTTAAAGACGAATAAAATTTTACAACTAATATTGTTTCCCTGACATTGCTAGCTTCATTTCTTTAGTCTGTCGCAACAATTCTATCTGCTGTAAATTTCAAAGGTGAGTGGACGCATAAAAAATGCATTTATACGTTCTTTTCAGCTCCAAAAAGCAGAGAACTCTTAGAACCTTGGTATTCAAGTGAGTTGTGATCGACAGACATATCGACATTGACCCAATCTATCAATCATTAAGAAAAAAGCTTACGTCAGTGGGGAAACTAATCGAAATGAGTATGGAGACAATGATAAGACTTTAGCATAAACAACTAATCACATACAAGGCCATCAGGACAATCTACTAAGCCGGTCGTGGAGAAACCCTATAGTTCATCTCTTTCTGAAGTTTGTGCTGATGGTTTTGTCCAGAATGATAATGACATCTTCACGACTAAGCCATCCAGCTCGAAGAACCCAACACCATTACAATCCTTTCCTGTCCTTCATTTTACAAATAACTTAAGCGAATAACTCTCTTCAACAATTTCGTGTATAAATATTTGCTACCTTGAATTTAGACTATACAATAGAAGTAGACAAGTAGCTGCATTCATGGAAAATTGAACCATAAGTCCATTACACAGAAAGTAGGATTCAGATGGTAAGACAGTGAATAATGGTAATTCTAATTTCCTTTATACAAGTTGACTTACCTCCTAAAAAAATAATTTCTATACTCGGCAAAGAGTATGTAATTGGGGTCCTCATTGGGTTCTTCTTTGAATTTAATATTTTTTTATGAGTGATTTGTAAAGATAATGAATTTTATGCGAATTGTTTTCCGTTTTATTTTCTTTCTCACAGATGGACCTTGTATTCCATTACCAGATACACTTCCTCATCAGTGTGATCATAATGAGAGAATAAACAACGAAAGGTATCCCACGGATATTAAAAATGCTATAAATACTGCCGGTACCAATAATTATGGTAATAACAACAATGGGAATAACAACGCTAATATTGTTCCTATCACTTACAATACTGTGGAAAGTGGAAGCGTAGAAGATGTATCAATGGATTCGCAAAATTCTACATCAGTGACACGTTGTGGTCCTAGACCATATCTACACACAGATCAAAATATGTTTAATCCTATTCCCTCAGATCATCGTTCATCAAATAATTTCTATATCCCAGCGTTAGCATTACCAACTAATTAATCTACCTCGATTAGTATCCTTATTACACCTTATTCTTGAACATTTAACCTTTGATTCAAATAGTTATGAGAACCGAAAATTAGCTGTTTATGAACCCAAACATAGAGGGCACATTTGAATAAACAGTTGCTAACAAATACGAAACTTCTTCATTTATTCGTCTTTTCAATTATCGTAGAAAAGAATTAAGACAAAACACTATACAAAAGTAGCATTCTGAGCATGTTATTGTTTCACCCGTTCCCAAATCACTTTCTCATCTCTAAGAATCAATTAACTTACAAACATCACAATGCAATACTTCTGCAATACTATGATTGTGTTATTACTTTGATTTCGATTCAATAAAACAATTAGATTAGTCAAATCTCTGCTGCTGAACTTAGTTCAATTTTGAAAAACCATGTAAAATTCTCATTCTTGATCACTGCGTCTTCATTTTGTTTCATGTGCTGTATGCTGCACTGATCGATAGAAGTCTCGTAATGCTAAGCACTAATGCCTAGAGAGATACATGGACAATCCAGTGATGGTAATCTCGTGTACATAATCCAGCATAAGAAGGCGTTAACTATGGCCTGAAAAGCTTAATGTTTAATCCTCTAACTTCCGCACAGAGTGATGCAGGTTTGGATCACCAAGAGGATTGCAGATACACCTTGCCGATGGATGACAACAGGCAAAAACCTGGGTGTACAGCTTCCTGTTGACTAAATTCTGCTAACAAATGACGAAACACTAAATTAGGTCTACCAATAGCCCTACTTATGAGAGGAAGTATCTTCTACTCAACGTTTTACGAAATAAAGCACCAACTGAGACTTGGTGTAAATAAATTGTAATCACTTGAGCTAAGTGTTATTCACAAAGATTTACTTTTAAGTTTAGTGAGACAAATTGTAGGAGGTGTGGATAGTTGGAATTCAATCCAGTGGTTAGGTTGTAATATACTTGCTACGAGACATTTTAGTCATAGGTTTCAACCTCGATCAAGTTGTCGGTTGACAGTGTCAGGTTAAAACGGTTCATAGATTTTCCACCTGATATAAACTCACAATGATAACCACCTTGGAGTCAATCAGCTATCCAATATTCAACTGCTGAACATCCTACCATCTGTTTATGGATAACTCAAATAGTTTTTGATTGAAGGAAACTATTAAATACTGCCACTTTTTCTGATTAAGAATGAAGGACGATCAAACAAGAATGAAATTAATTTGCATTTGTCTAGTCAACAAAACCTATCAGGTGAGGACATAGTACTCATAAACAAAGACCCTCTACTTAATTATACCTAAATTTGAAATGGTACATAACATGTAGCCCAGTTTCTGGGTAGCTACGTTTTGATTTGATTCAGATATCAGTAACATAAAGCCAGCTAACTAAGAAGACAACTTTACGCTAGAGACTATTGAAATAACTAATAAGGTTTCCTTATCGTTTACAAAAACTACATTTCCAGGATAAATGAAGATGCATAACTGGTTTATTTAGTCGTTATTTTATCCTTTACAGTTACCTCTGGCCGAAAATGAATGATAAAATACTTGATAAATAATGTAGAAAATGTACAAGGCCCTAAAAGTCTAGGTTGCTTGTTCAGAATACCAGCGAGTGCGCAGAAAATGGATTGACTTTAAACGCCACCCTAGCAACAACTGAAATAACTAATCAGAATCCTTCATTTTCAAAAATCTGCCCTTCTAACTGAAATGTGGAAACCTAACTGCTTATTTCAGTTGTTCCTAGGGTGGTCTTCAAAGTCGCCCCATAAAATGAAGTTATGGTAACTCGCTATTGATTAAATGTTATTCTTATTAGTCTGGTGCAGAGATACAACGTATATGTTATTGTAGAACTGCTTTTAATACATACAAAAAATTTAAGCTGTGTGGCTGATTGTAATCCCATTTCAGCTTATTGATAGGATGTGCGACAAACTGCTTTTCTTATCCAAATTCGTACAACTATGCCCTGATTTCTCGACAGTCCTTCACTAATCCCGTATTTCTAAGTAGTAATTAAGATTAATTTGGACAATGTGAACTTAAGTATGTGCAATGAAAGATTCTAAAAACCGAGTATTCAATAATAATATTAATAGTAACAGCTTCGTACCGAACAATAAGTGTGATACAGTAGGGAAGAGTGACTTTAAAAGCCACCCAAGCAACAATAGAAATAACCAATTGAGTTTCTTCATTACAGTTGAAAAGGTGAATTTTAATAAAGTAGAGTAATCTGATTGGTTATTTCAGCTGTTGTCAGGGTGACCTTTAAAGTCTGTCGTATGGAATTCTGACGGTGTAATATTTTAACGAACTTAATCCAGCAACAATATTTTCAAACAAAATGTCCTTTGGTACTGGGTGATGTTTGAACTTGGAATGAAAATTAGAGTGTATCAGGATGAGCACTAGCAAAAACATGCTTTCTGAACTAACTGAGCTACGAGATCCCTCTGTTGACCAGATTTCGTTGCATCAGATCATTGGATCTGAATGATATTTATAATTACAGCATTAAAGGCAATAATATGAAACAGTCGATTGGTGTTGGATTACCTTCCAGTGTGTAGTCGTGCTGGTTTATTCAACCAGTAGAGTGATATACTATTCACGATAAGTATCCTAGGAATAGAAATATGATGTTTCCGTGCATTAAGAAGTCAATTTCCGTTTAATATGACATTTTTCCTTCGTTTTGTTATTAATAAGAAAAACGGTTAATTCAGAACATTTTAAAAATCTCGAAGAATATATGATACTTTTGGAGGATATAGTTGGAAAATTTTGTCAATAGCCCAAAGTTCTAGCAGGCAACTATCAACAATGAAAGTTTGTGTTGAATGCTACCTCTTCGTATCCTTTTGCAACTCTTTCTTGAAAAATCAAATGGTTATCTTTTAGGTTACTGCTTGTGGTTATTAATGAGATTCACAACGCTACATTTCTACCCATTTACTTAGCGGAAAGCCTTGAAAAAAACAGTTTAGTTACTGACTATTTATTCTTGCACATTATTTTTGAAAAAATTTCTTTACTAAATAGTTACATCATCAATTAGAAGAAACAAATGATCTGAAGTGTATTATTTATAATGAAACATCATTAAAACGTTGTAGGTGGAAAAATCCGTTTGCTTGTAGGTTCTCATTAACTGGCTTCTTTTTAGAATAAATTTATTTCATATCAGCAGTAGAAACAACCAATGCTTGAGCGATAGGCCATACCTTGAGGTTGAAATATGAAACCTATAATTCTGTGCTATCTCCAGTCAGGAGTGACCAAATGTTAAGCAGATCATCGGACATACACTTAGTGAAAAGTCAACCTTCAAGTAAACTAGCAGAGTGGAAATGCATTGTATACAGAAGCAGATAAACACTACGGAATGAACGACTTGCCCATGAAAAAAATCAGTCGAGATCTAAAAAGTAATAAAAGCAATATCGAAGATGAGTTGAAGACGATGTACTGGAATTAAGGAATAAGAGGAATGATTGATATACATATATATATATATATATATATATACATATACATATATATATATATACATATATATATATATATATATATATATATATATATATATATATATATATATATATATATATATATATATATATATGGAACCAGTTTCACATTACATGCTACGCGGGAGGCGACCAAACTAAAGAATAAAGCTTACTACTTAATAATTTTAAGTAGGATAAAAATTAAGTTAAAAATAGAATGAAGATAAGTAGTTGCAAAATGCAGTTGAATGTAACTTTGAGCTTGCTAATAAGCTACTTGGTAGTTCAGATTTATTTAAAGTCCATCATTTCGCACTGTTTTCCGCACTTTCACCCAACACCATAAGGAAATCAGTTTCCAAAACAGACAGATCAGAAGGAATCAAACCATCTGAAAAGTTATTCACAGACTGCCTAATAGATGGATCTTCAAAACTTCCATTGGGAAACAACCAGTCAAGTCAAGAGTGACATTAGGTGTCTTCCAACGTTACTCGTTTATGGTTGCCGTGTACTGCATACCGTTTTGGGGAACTGGAACTACTAGATTCCTCTATTTAATTTCCAGGCAGTAGCTGATATTGTGACCTAACGGTGAACTTTGTCTATGATAAAAGCATACACGAAATATGCTGACTGAAATAACTGTTCCTTGAATCGCAGCTTGCCAAGAAGGACGTATTGCAAGGAGCGATGAATCTAAGAAAAGGTAACTTTGCAATTAAGATTTAATTGCAAATACATTACAAAATCACTTGAGACTGAAAGATGGTCCACTGTTGGTAGTACTTCAGTTAAACGAAGTTTTGTTTATCAAGAATAACCAGTAACTTCAGCTTTTGTCGTCTGCCGTTCGTTAGTGTGAAAGTCTAGAAGATATTGTTGATAAGACTTTGCATGAATTCAATGAGTGTTTTCTCAAGATTGACAGATCTTTCATTTATATATCATAACCGTATTTTCGCCCCGATGATCAACAAAATTGTCTACTCCTTCTGCTACGTAACTGCTTCAGCTAAAAGCTGTTGTTGAACGTTTTAGAGTTACTAAAGTCCGTTTCCTCAGCATATATACCTTTGATGACATGAAGGCATTTGGATGGGCACATTTTCATCAGATCCATTAGGTTTGAGAAGCTGACATTTATGCAAAAATTGCAGTCTACGTTTGTCACAAAGTATACTTGGAAAATTTTCTCCTCCCATGATGTATTCTATGCAAAAAGAGCCGTGACACCGATAGAATTCGTTTTCCTATCAGCAAATAGATTAATGCCCCTGATTTTGTAGAAAAACTGTATTGCGTAGTTGGCTGAATTGAGAGTAAGCAATCGTAATTATGATAGAGGAAGAAATGCATGAACATTTGTTATTATTCAGCACCTTCGGATGAAGAATCAAGGTGGTTATCTGCGAAATAAGGTGAGCAGAAAAAGAACTTAAACTGATCACATAATAAACTACAGTTGCATATA